TTGGCAACTTACAGCCATGAGTAATAGTTTATTTTACTGACATTTACTCCGTCCAGCCCACCATGTAGGTCAAATTGATTATGTTGTATTTGTCACTGCAGTCTATGAACTATGGCTTCTCTGTGTCTAAGGAGAATAAGTCAGATGAATTTGAGGAGAGAAGAGAGAGTGTTTGTGTGTGTGTGTGTGTGTGTGTGTGTGTGTGTGTGCGCACGCACAGTGTGTCAGAATGTCAACATGCTTAACGGATGCCAATTAGCTTGACATTGACTGGTAGACCCACAAACACGTTCCTGTCCTTCCTCTGACCCGCTAATGCAATATGATCTTTCAGGGGGGGTTTCTGGGCAGGGTGAAGCATTACAGAAGCCGTTCTAATATAATTAGTCAGTGTGTGTGTGTGTGTGTGTGTGTGTGTGTGGGCAACCTGGTGGTGGTCATCTTGCATAACGAGACTGAACTGAACTCTGTGACTCAGGCTGCAAGGCATCTGGGAATTCAGTGCGTTATCACATTCAAAGGTGAATGCAGCGTGAGACAGATGTCATCATGACGATGATCACATGGATGGGTGGTGACTCAACCTGCATATCCAGGATCAGTTCTGTCACCAACACTTCTGTTCTTAAATCAAAATTTGTCTGCAGCAACTAAGTGACTCACGTTCACAGACAGAGGAGATAGAATTTAATACTGCATGAGCACCAGATGCAGGATACAGTATGTTCAAAAACATGTACAAAAACTTGAGCACTGCACTAATGCTCTTGGAGGGGAAGGAATGTCATCATCAAAAAAACATTTTTTAAAGATGCATTGCTGCATTTATACGACGTTCTAGCCCGTATGCATTAGAGGATTTTTATTTTTAAACACTCACTTGAGTGCATGGATTTGGAGTTATTATGCCACAACCGCTGATGAGTGAATTATTCGTTCCTCTTAATGTGGTTCATATCTGAGGGAGTGATGAATACTAGATCAAAGTCACACAACCATTTTCTTTGTGATAAGTGTTCAAGGCTTAAAACTTTGTCTCTTTTAACAGTTTTTCATTTTAGCAGTTTAAAGATACTTAAAGGGGCTTTTTGCAAGTTTTCTCTGCTGCCAAATGTGGTTCCTTGCCGGGACCAGGTGGTGGTGATAGTCACCTGACAAGCGCTTCGGTCACCGTTGCGTTTACAAGACAAGAGGTTATGATATGTCCTCTGAGCAGCGCTATGTCAATGGTGAGACGCTCTCGGAAAGTGATGAGACGGGCCGTTGCTAGCTGGTGAGCGTGCTATCTTCAGTAGAAGAAAAGAGGTGATAGAGACACAGTGAGTGAACAGCGGTTAATGCTAACACTGGCTATGTAGCAATAGCAAAACTTACATATAGCTCCTTTTTAAGGTTTCATCAAACTTCAAAATCATTTATACGCTTCATTTATACTTCTGCATTAGAAGGTTATACTTCAGCTACAGCGGCTATGTGTGTAGGCTGTGTACCTGCGCTGCAGCTGTCGTGCTCCTCAGGGCTATGGCAGCCATGGAGTTACAACATGAGGAGCGTATGAAGAACTGTGACTGGACAGCATTGGCTGCCTGTGTTTTCTACTACACGTTTCTGATGCTGGTAGAGATTTTTCAGAGGGAACTACAAATTAAATCTGACACTGTAGGTTTCTACAGCCCCTTGCACACCAAGCATAAATCCAGCTTACCTGGATAACCTGGGGTTTGCTCAAAAGCTGCCTGATCATCATCTGCTTATGTTTCTTGTCATGTTAGATTTTTAGTGATGTAGCTGCTTCTCAGCAATCGACAGTGTTTTTTTTAATCACCAGTTGGAATGATGATGAATGTGTCAAAGGCTTGAAATTAGTTTGACCATCCTGTATCAGAACTTTTTTTTCTCTTTTACCAGACAATTTAAGTCCATTCTTAAGCAAATTAAAATATAATGTAAAGCAAACTAAGACAGAAAGAGACATAAAAGATAATGTTGACACTTTGCAGTCAAATACTAAAGCTTAGGACGAGATAACTTGCACAGTTTAAACTCTAAGGAAGGTACTTGGAATGAAATTAAATGTCATCACTATGGAGATGGATAGATCGAGGAAGCAGCACAGGTTTCCAGAGTCAGTTCCGTCACGGTTTGACTACAGCCGAATGAGATTTACCGGCACTTATACACACACATTATCGCACTCAAACATACTAGCAGACATAAAAAAACATGCATATGTTTCCACACAGTAGATGCAATTCATGCTGTACTAACACCAAATAACCGTGAGATTGGCTAAACTGAATACAAGCATTCATTTCCACTGAATTTACAGCAATGATAAAACGCGGGGAGGAGTAGAGGAAAAAATGTAGAGGAACAATCGATGCCGTTGGTCTGGCGGCTGAATGAGAGGGTCAGTCTGCCAGAGCTGGGAAAACATCCTGCAATTAAAATTATCTGCTTCCCAGTCTTTTCTGCAAATGGGATGTAGCTGGGAAACTGTAATTTACATCGTGTTAGCTTTGCAGAGAGATAGAGAAAGAAAGAGAGAGAGAGAGAGAGAGAGTGTGTGAAGCCTGGGAGGCGCATGTGTGCTGGTGGACTCACACACACATTCACACACATGCACTGTCAACTCAACACCAGAAGACACACACACACACACGCACGCACACACACACAGCTCCCACACCTATTTGCCTCTTCCTCCAGGCTTATCATGATGCTGTGTCACTGCCCCTCCTGCTGCTGTTTCAATTCCCACCCACCCAAGTTAAGCCGGGAGAAGATTGTGTGTGTGTGGTGTGTGTGCGTGTGTGTGTGTGTGTGTGTGTGTGTGTGTGTGTGTGTGTGTGTGTGTGTGTGTCTGTGTTTATGCAGGGTCACTTTCTTCGTCTCTCTTTTTGTAAGCGAAGGTGTTTGTGTCCTGCAGTGTATACGTTGCGATGCATGGTTGCATTTGTGCACAAAGGTCTTGAATGTGTTCCTACCTGTGTGTGTATATGTGCTAGTGTGTGTGTGTGTGTGTGTGTGTGTGTGTCTGAATGGGTTCCAAGACACAAAAGATTAACACAACAATATCCAAATCCCCCTCTGCCCTTGGAACAGCAGGCAAAGAGGGTACAGACCGCGCTAGCTCTATGTGTGTTTGTGATTGTGTGTGTGTGCATTCATGAGTATATTGCATCTGTATCAATGCATGTCCATGCCTGCATGCCAGTGTGTGTCTGTAACTGTGACAGGAAAAGTGTGAGTGTGTGTGTGTGTGTGTGTGGGGAAGCTAATCTAAACACAATGCAGCCAGGCGTGAAGTGGAGCAGTCTAGTCGATATGCTCCAGTATCATATTGGTCGTGCTATGTTCCCACTTTGTAGTCCCACCTATCAGTCTAGACCAGTGCCACAGGCCAGCTTATCATCTGTACTACATTACTGATATGACAGCAAAGTGTGCGGCACACTTTCATCTCTAGGGACAGACATGAAACTCACAAACCAGAAAAATAGACGTAGAATAACCTGGGTATATTCCAGCATTGTTCTATATTCATCAATTATTTACAGGCATAATCAAAACAAATGTGGAACACAACGAGTTAACTTTTCGGGAACTCAAAGACAAAAACTTTGCATGACTTTAAATACAATGTGACTTCACTCAAATGTTCCCGAGCTGAAGGAGCTATTGTTGCCGCTGTAATTTCTCAATGTCTTGTCAACCCCACCCTTGAGCTTGCAGATTTTACGTAAGAGAAGAAGTGACCCAGCAGTCATAAGCGCTGATCTCTCACAGTCAAAAGAAGCTGAATTAAACCTTGGTCTCTTGGTTTTTAAGAGGTTCTGTGTGGACTGAAAACTCCTGCATTGGTGAAACATTGACATTTTTCACATCTCCTCTTTCCTCACCTTTCAAACTCCTTCTCTTCTCATTTAGAACGTGTTAAAATCTTCAGTCTATTTTTATCTCCTGCTTCTTCTGCTGAAAAAGGGAGGAAATTCATATTTTCTCCATGATGAATCGACATTACCATGACTTTTTGCTCATACTTTATACACACTCTGTCCCTCATCCCATTTTTCACGCTTCCCTTTTGAAACTCAACTTTCAATTTCACACCACTCCTCTCATCTTCTGCTTCCTGTTGAGTCTCCGTCTCGCTTTTCTTCATTTGTGCTCATTTCACTTATTACACAGGTCTCTGTTGTCTCTTCACTTTGATCTTTTTTTCTATTTTCCAAAACACATGAGAGCTGTCCTTCTCAATTACCTAATCATGAGGGCAGAGATAAAGACAGTCAGAAAGAGAGAGAGAGAGAGAGAGGAAGAGTTTAAGTCGGGAGGGAATTTAAGCAAAGCGGTCCGTCCCTTCAGCCTGACAAGGCTTGGAGACGTACTTCTTTTCAAAAGACTGCATCGCAGGTGTTCACGAATGCACATATGAACACCCTGATATGTGCACACAAAAACATGTGCAGGCACTCACACTATGCAAGAAAAAAAATGTTGGGCGTTTGTATCAATTTAGCAGGTTTAATCTCTTCCATATGGGCATGGGGGCTAATGCATCTGCTAAGGCTATTAGCCGCTATGAGCCCTGTGCACACAGGCTAGACTAGACCTATTATCAGTTTGGCAGTGACTGAAAATATCACCATAGCCAATAACGTAACAACAACAGCAAAAAAACACATAGTTATCACTACCATGAAAACTACAGATCTTCTGTTGACCTCCATAGAGCTCGCACATGTCTGCCTTGTTGAAACAGGGTCAACTTGATGGACAGAAGAAGACAAAAACAGCCCAAGGGGCTGATTGCTACGGTAACAGTCGACCCAGTTTGAAACAAAAATACACCCAGGTGCACAATCACACACACAAAGCGCTGTAAAAGAAGAAAAAAAAAGTGTATGCAGAAATACCCTGAAAGTGAATATTTTTATGTTTGCTGGATGCCACACACAAACACAAAGTTCACACCTGCTACTCTGTGTTTGACTCACCTGAGTTCGATGGCCTCCCCCATCTCGCCACAAGAACTCATCTCACACAGGACGCGACAGCAGATGAGAGGAGATGCAGAGATGACAAGCTGAGAGAAAGAACTCCCTCAGACTAGTGGCCACAGCAATAACAACAGTACAAGAAAAAGATGAGAGGAGGAGAGGAGAGGAGCGAGAGAGCATGTGATGATATTGCGTTTCAGAGTGAGGGACGGAGAGAGGAGAGTGAATGCAGAGCGAGAGAGAGAGCGAGAGAGAGAGAGAACCACACCTCTTCTTAAGGGATTAACTTGGAAAAAGGAGCCCTGACACATTCGCAAATACACACACACACAGGGATGCACCCAAACACAATCAAACTGCCCACGACCCAGCGTGCATGAGCGTCTGGTACTCAGATACACACAAACAAAATACTGTACACGTACGCACGCATGCTCACAGCTGCTCTAAAAATAAAGACAAATCAATGTTTGATGCTCCACATCCTAGGAGTGAGGGAAGAAGAGAGTGGGAGGATAGAAAGAGAGAGAGTAAGAGAGAGAAAGAGAAAAAGGGGAGGGGTGATTAAACGAGTCATGGCGGGTGGTGACACAGTTTTCTTTACTCTCCATCTGCTATGGTCGCACTGGTCAAGAGTGCACTGGGGGAGAGGGCGAGAACTGGGGTTGGAGCCTGGGGACAGACGCAAGAGCTGGAACTCGGGAGTAGGGCCAGGGCCGGAGGATGTGGCCAACCTGAGGACTGGAACTCATCCTGGTCGTATGTTTCTACAGGGATAGTGCTGGACACGAGGGAGAGTGCTAGCCTCCCAGTATACTGGATACAGGCAGTGTTCCCAATGGACGATTATGCAAAATGATGAAACCCACAGACCACACCCACACGAGCACCTGGTTGTCTGAGTGTTCCATGTTTTTGGTTTCCTATATTTTCTTTTTTCTTTCTTTCTTTCTAGCTGGAAAAACATTTGCTGGCGAACCTGGAGAAATTTAGATCATCTAAACATTTTTGTTACAATCTGTTTCTGAACACTGAGATGAGGCGTTGAGGAGAGAACTGGCTCGTACAGTTACAGTAAATCTGGTTTAAAAGTTTGTTCACAAGGGGCCGAGAGTTTAAATCGGTTTGTGGGTCGCGCTGTGAAGCCCTTATTTAAATACTGTTTAGGTCAACTTTGTAATTGAAACCAAATGTGGGGCAGTCAATGTGACACACTGCCTCTTGAATTGTGCTGTGCTACAACAGGATTCATAGCATGGCCACTTATTATGCAAATGAGAAACATGGAAATTGTGCCTCAAATATTTTCATAGTCAAGCAAGAGATGTTTGATGAGAAGCTGATTCTTGGGGAAGAGTTGCATCAAGGGTAAATCAGACGGTAGGTCCAATGACTTAAAGAAGGACAGAGGTTGACAGTTGAGGGCTAGTGCAGGAAGAGAACCAGGGATAAAGGAAGAGCTTAAGCTTGAAGTTTTAAGACTAGGTGATAACAACTATTATTATAACAAAAAATTACTTCTCCAGTGGCCAAGTGGTGCAGAGTTGCCCAATCAAATATGTGCATGCACTCCTGGTACATTACTTGATATTGTGAATAGCATACCTCTACTGTTGACTACGGAGCAGGTGTAACAAAGGATAAAATTAGTGCTGCTGTGATAACTTACAAAAGCAGTAAAAATGATTCCTCATTAATACTGTAAACCTCTGTGCAGGCACCTGATAAGCCTTCAACCTCATGAAACTGTGTCTCAAACCAACCATCCAGGATCGAAAAGGCTTGTTGGGTTTAGGGACAACTGGAGCAGACTAAAACCATACTTTGCACCGTGTTCACACCTTGCACTAAAATGCATCTTGGGTTATCTAATCACAAGGGTACGCAACTACAGGTAGAGGTATAAACGCACCTTAAGTGCAACGGGATCCACTCATACAGTCAGGGAAGGTAGTTGAGGAACACACGTACAGTATATAAAGTAGTGTGAATGCTAAATTGTGCCAAACCCTAATAAAGGAGACAGTATCTGAGGTGGTACCAGTTAACAACCAGCTATAGCAGCGAGGCTTGCTCCGGCTTAGCAGCAGTTAAGCTCAGTTTCCCCGCTGATAAAATGTAATATGAGAGAGGAAGCCGAATCTGGCTACAAGTGGTCACACAGGATGCATTTGAGATACCTTATGATGTAAGGCCAAGTGTGACTTTCAATTACATCCAGTCTGTGTTTCAGGTTAGAGCCAGAACTGAGGCTGAGCCCGGAGATACTGTAACTCAGCGCAGTGTCGTGTGTGTCACTGCTATCCCTCTCCTCTCACACATTCCTAGCCTTCCATGATGCCAGTTCATCCCCTAAGCTGTTTACCCTCCAACACCCAGAGCCAGAGATCAACAATGGATGAGACTCAGAGGGATCAAAACGTCCTTGTTGTGCTCTGGCTCTGTTCACGTGTCCGTTACAGACACAGCACTCTGGGTATTTGTAGCTAACTGGCAACATTCGACACCATCTTTCCATTTCACAGTTTGTTGACAGAGGTGACATTAAAACGCTGGAGAGCTTTGTGATCGTGATGCAGTTACACGTCCCTGTGGGGAATCATGACTTAGTGAATTAATATGCACAACAAACAAATACAAGTTTGTACATAACCCTGTGCAGAAAATACAAATATATCTGTACACCATAAACAATCTCATCTAATCCACTCATCAAACACACTGAAGACATGTTGCACAAGCACCAGAGCACTTCTTTCTGGCGTGTGTGTCATGCTAATAACAACAAAGCTGACAGACAGAAGCATCTGGGAAACAACATCACTGGCAAGAAAGCAAAGTTGAGCAACAAAAGCTTCAAGGACAATCAACAAATCTCTTCCCACTAAATTAGTCATATCTTTCTCTGCTAGTGTCTCTACAAAGACACATCTTTGTCTTGCCTGTTCTTTTTTTTTTTTTTGACAAACACTACAGAGACCATTGAAATCCAAAAGTCATGTTTTAATGTTGCCAGTCCATTGTTTTGTAAATCTCGTGTCTGGACTGTGCGACATAATTGCCAATTGTATCTAAATTGAATCTAATCGTCGTTATTTGACAACAAAAACAAACTTACAAAAGTAATGTGACATCACCTGTGTTACAGTGTGGTATGGTATAATGCATGACAAAGTTCAAGGTGGTACAACGTCAGCTGGTTAACATTAGTTAGCATTCATCATTTTGAGCTGCACTTCATTTGTTCTGTATTCTAAAGACCTTTTATCTTGATTGTTAACTCGTCCTCCTCCTCTTTTCTTTTTCACTCCTCCAGGAGTGAGATGCACAGACAGAAAGAAGAGGAGGGTGAGAAAGAAGAGGATCTAAAAATAAAGTAGAGAGAGTAGAAGACAAAAGGCCCAGAATTTTAAATTAATCAGAGGAAGGCGCAGGAGATTTTATATCTACAGTGCTGTACTGTAAGATACATGTTCTGTGGCTGTGTGTGTGTGTGTGTGTGTGTGTGTGTGTGTGTGTGCAGGCATCTGCTTGTGCATGCATATTCATCTGTCTGACTGTGTATATCTGTCCACTGAGGCAGACACTAACATAAGCCATTTAAAGCTGCTGTGTAGTTATGAAACATGATGATCTCACCAGCCAGGTGGTAGCAGACACACTTCCTGCTCACAATAAATAAGCCCTCTGGCACGTGAGCTTTTCCACCAGTTACAGCACAAACAGAGAAACATAATCACGCTGTCTGTGTGTGTATAACTGTGTGTGTGTAATGTGCTTGTGTCTGCGAACATGTTAAATCTGAGAGTCTGTGGTTTTACAACCACCATGCCTCAGTGACTCTACAACAGCCTGTTATTTTAACCAACACTGTCTGAATGTAAATTAGTCTCCTTCTAACACTCACACACACACAGAGAGACACACACAACCACAATTAATGATCTGTGGGGTTACAAATACTCAATAATCTAACTCTGCGTGCAAATAAGCAATCTTCTGATGCGCCAGTGGCCGGCAGGCCCCCGAGCACAGTCTTGCACATAGTAACAAGCAATAACCTACTTACTGTATCCTCGCTGGAAGCTGTAATGACACTAAAATAAATGAAGTGTGATTTCTGAGCAAGTCATTCGTGTAGCAGGAGTTTATTAAAGTTGATTTGCCTTAAAGAAACATTTTTATTCATTTCAGTTCACTAATCAGGCGAGTCTGACTCAAAATTAGGCCAATTTGAACTTAATAACATTAAAATCAAATGAATCCTCAATAAAATCAAGTTTAAAAAGGTGAACAAAATCAAAGTGAAGTACACTTTTATAGCATTACTTAAGTATCCTACAGAAAAAAAACACAAACATATGCTGCAACGCACCAGTAAAGGCACGGTGCAAGCTAGTACACATGGATGTAAATTTAAAACACTTTGCAAATGTCTGTTAGAGCTCAAGGATACATACAATGTGTTTCTGTGAGTAAACATAACTTTTGGTTATTAACAATGGGCACCTTCAAGTTGAAGTTTGCACTGTAGACTATATCAGACTATAGCTGTAAGACATGTGTTCATCATTTCAACATTTACATAACTGATTTATGATTTTTCAATATAGAAATTCTGTTGGTAGAAGAAGTTGTATAAGTATTATTTCTCTTAAAAATAGAAGAGAAGGAAACAAACTAATCTTTGCACAATCAATAAACAAAGTTGTGTTTTCTTTACTGTGACTAAGACTAAGTGGAGGAAATTAAAAACCAACCACTCTCTATGACATCATTTCCTTTAACATACTACATGCCTCAGGTATGCACCCAAAACCTCAATGGTAAGTGTGTGTGTGTGTGTGTGGTGTGTGTGTGTGTGTGTGTGTGTGTGTGTGTGTGTGTGTGTGTGTGTGTGTGTGTCAACAAAACATGTACTGACTGGTGTGTAATTCAACAGTATCAAACTGAAATATAAATGAATGGAGGATATAAAGAGTTTATCATGATGAAATCTATGATACTGTACTTTCAGACAATACAATATTCATATATTAAAATAAGAATCAATATAAAGATATTGATTAGTGCAGCTTTAATATAACATAACATAATGTAACATAGCACTAGAATATAAGAGCTAA